ACACACACACACACACACACACACACACACACACACACACACACACACACACACATACAGGGGGTCTGATTTCACATTGTGTTCGACAGAAACCAGGAGGCTCCCTATATACAATCACGCCACAGGGCTCTGAAATCTCACCTGTGCTCTTATAGAACTGCAAAAGCTTAATCCACTGAGTTATTTTAGTAAAACTTTAATTGCTAGCTGCATGGTTTCAGCTAACACTTATCAAAGCAACCCAACACTGAACTGAATTGTTATTTTAATTCTAGGATGGAAAATACTCGGGAAAATTGTAACAWCATCAGATTGGGAGGAAAATACAGTAAGGATGAGAAACACACTTCCGCTCGATCCACCCTGCAAAGCAACCACATAAGTTATTAAACGATGCATTTATTAAAGTCTCTGAGCAGATTTGGTTAGTAATAAACATGYAATTCATGTTGAGCTCATTTGAACACAGCGGTTATCCACCTTAGTGTTCCTCATTCTGGAAATCCCCTCCCAAAATGTTTTCACCTGTAATCATGACCACATCATGCTACGACCCACCCAGCAGGCCTCTACAGTCCCCTCCTCTTCTCTCCTGGTGCGGATGAAAGTTTCCACTTGTTACATTAGAGGGCTGTCAGCAGGAAGCAAGGGAGGAAAGTGACAAAGAGCGACAGAAAAAAAAGGGAACTCCAGAGAAAGAGAGGAAGAACTTGCAGAGTGGGCCACAGGTGAGTGAACTTCATTTGAAAAAAGGGAGGATTTGTGTTGTTTAAGTTGAGCTAAACCCACATGAAATATTTATTCATTTGATAATTGGCTCAACGCAAGTGACATCAGTATCACTGTGAGAATGGCATGGTAGAACAAAGTGATGTGTATCCATTTTTTCACCTGCAAATTAATGCTAAAAAAATAAAAATATAAATGCTAACTCCTAACAATAAATCAGTATTTGTATACTTGAATGAAATAGTTTTCTATGAGTCATTCTAAGAATTTTTCTCATTTTTTTGTCCGTCAAAGGTAGTTTTTCTAGTCATGAAATTATTCTACTATAAAATTTCCTAATCTTCGAAAATTCAGTGACAAATTTAATTGAGCATTAATGTCAAATGTATTTACCTCTGTCCTGAAACATCTAATTAAGCAATTATGTTTCTCAAACTTGCTTTTTCATTATTATCAAAGCAGTTGATCTAAATGTGCCTTGAAAAACACTGACTAAAACAAACACAAACAACCTCCAAATGACAAGTTTATGTCAGGAAATCTCCACAGTTTGTTTGAAAACGTGAAGATTCACACACTCACTGATGAACTGCACCCAAGCCAAGAGCGTTTCTGTTTTTTCCAGCGAAACTCAACATTTAGGCATCCCTTGTTGGCATGGAAGCCAAAAAATGGCCAGTGTTGTACCCTGTTTCCAGGGTGTAGTACCCACAGGAGCTCATGGGATGCAGGGGAGAAAGGAAAAAAAACAAGCCATGCCGCTTAGCAGCCCTCCCAAGTGGACCGCTCAGAGAACAAACACATTTTAATTGTGCTCAATGCCAGAGCACTGCGAACCAAAACACCTAAGATGTTATTGTGTGGCTCTACGCTGAGTAATCTTAGCAAGATTTACTTCATGGGGTAAAACGATTTTGTGTAAATGTAATATTTAAAATGTATTGTTTTGATCTTTTTTTCCCTCTATACTGTCGTTCTTCTAAATCCTTTAAAGCTCATATTCAATAGTTTTCTGTTATGCGACTCCACCAAACAATTATGAGATCATTTTCATCAGAACAGGTAGACAACTGTAAAAAGAGATGACCATGAACAAAACTGAACTGGTGGATTACAATAAGTGAACTCTGCTGTTATTATCAAAACATTTTACCACGAGGAGGTAAATAGTAGAAGTCAGATAATCTGTTTTTAYATGAATCAGGTTTCGTATTGCTTTATTGATTCTGCCATCAGGTGCTTGTTATGTGTAAAGCTCTGCGGATGTTAAAAGCAAGAGGTACGTCACAAGTTTGTTCAAATTCAACATTTTGAATGTTATTGCAGGCCGGACAAAGAGCTGTCTGCCTTTCTTCCAGCGGGATAATGGCTTCTGTAAAGAGGACAGGTATGAGTCCATATCTCTTTATTTCAATTCTCTGTTGAAGGTTATTTGCATTTTTCAATCATTGCATCTGTTGTTTYGGTTTTATTTTATTTTTTTCAAGAACAAGAAACTGCAGCAGTAATAGACAATGGCCTCAAGTTGTGTAAAAGGGGACAGCTGATTTACACAGACAAGTCAAAAAATAAATAAACTACTGGAATGTTCCATGATCCGTAAAGTTTCCGCCACACAAGCAGCCCTATAGGCTACACATGGGGCGGTCAGCTCCTACATGCTAAAATCATACATCTAACATGTTTAAATTAATAATGAGGTGACATTCAGCACAATAATTTATGACTTAGATTAATTTAAAAGATTATAGGATATTTTTTGTTTTAATATATCCAATTATGCAAAAGGTGCGGGAAAAACCAATGACGCAACTGGTCATAGCTGCTTTGAAATCAGCTACTTTGGTGCATCACCAGGTTATTGTTGAATTATTAATTCATTTTTTATTAATTATTAAAGGTAATCCTGTGTGTACCAAGCTTCATGTCCAGCAGTTGACTGGCTATTTACCCCAGCATTGCATCAGATATGATACAATTGTAACTGACCAATCTGACAAATATTCCCATTATTTAAAAACATACGAAAAGGTATTAAAYATAGGTTTTCTTTTTTACTTCATAGCAGTAAACTCGAACTTGTTCACTTAAATCTTGGGGTATTTTGCAACTCCTTTAAGCCAAAAAGCAAATTTTTGGGAAAAAAAACACAGTGTATGTAAATATACACATACACACTATTTTTTTATTTGCTATAATATGTATATTTCAAGACTATTTTCATGGGTTTAATTAAAAAACAACTACACAGTCAGTGGACATTGATGCATGATGAAAATATTGCTCTAAAATGCAACACGCAGTCAAATGGCACATCATTAAATCTTGGTAGTTTCTACAGTAACATGCATTAAAAAAACAACAACATATTTGTAGTTTATTTCAAATGCCCAGGAGAGTTTATTTGCTTTTTGCAATCTATACTTAAAGGGTTGGGGGTACGGGGGGAGGTAAGGGGAAGATCACGTAAAACCAACTCATTYATGCATGTATGAGAAATCCTTGAATTTCCTGTGGCAGCCATGTGGAGCTGCAACAAAGCGTCATCTATTTACACAAAGTTCCTCCCAGGAGCTCAGTCTGCAGCCGAGTTTCGGCCCCATAGTGCACCCCTCCCCTGAAGCACTGTTGTGAAGACGTGCTGAAGTGGGAGTGTTGCAAATGGTAGGAGGTTCTTTAAGAGAAAGTTTCAAGGTGTTTTGATTGGCTGTGACGCAAAGTCGCATTTATTTTTGATATATACAGCATTTTCATAACAACTGAAAGTAACAGTTACTTGATTAGGARTATAATTGAACTAYGTGCCTGGAAAATACATAATAAACCACTTTAATGTCTGCCTCTAGGCACCCTGCACCTCCTTCTTTTAGGACTWCTTCTACCTCCAGTATTAGTGGCGGGACAAACAGAGACCTCCACCACTCCAYCTTCCACAGCGATGGACACCAGCAATACAGCGACCACCATGACTCATTCCACTGTCTCCGTCACTAATGGAGGTATTGTAACAACCACCCCCACCCAGTCTCTCACATCCACCTCCGGAGGCTCAGACTCAAGCACCTCCCAGTCTCACACATCCCCCTCTGAACGGATGACATCCAGCAGCACGCTCTCTGCCACAAGCACCTCCGGAGGCTCATCGCCCCACACCGCCCTCACAAGCATCCCTGAAGGCACGGTAGCCGTTGTCTGTCTCACAAGTGTAGTAGTGCAGTAAAACATAAGCACACATATTTCTTAAGTCAGTATTGGAGTATATCAGTTTGCAAATTCTCTTTTTTGTATGCATCATAGCACCATGTGCTGCACTCTGTATTTTATCCTTTTCTGGCTTTTTGCTGCCTTCCCTGGACAGATTTTTTTTATGAAAGAGTCGTATCAACAAGTTGGAGGTAAGGTAGGTCGCCATCATGATATTGGATCTATCAGCTGGTTCAAGAAAATGTTTTCCAAAGAGAACTTTGAACTGTACTGATACAATGATGTGCAGATGTTTGTAAAAATGTCTTTACCTCTGCTTTGGCTGATGACATCTCAGAAAACAACATGCATTCTATTTTATTCAGTTTATTTATTTGGCACCAATCCATTGCAAATGTGTCAATAGGGTGAAGGATGAGCAGCATTTCAGTTCAAGCATGTTCAGATAAATACAGTCTAATTCAATCAGATTATAATATGGATCCAGTAGAAATAACATCTGAAGACCCAACGTTCCCCTCAGCATTTAAAAGAACTGCATCAACACCTGTATTTTCTGCCTTGTCCCTTCATGTAGTAATTAAGTCAGACCAAACTGCTTATTTTCAGGTTCAAGCACGATGAGTTCATCTCCCACCACAAGTTCAAGTCTCTCAGCATCAACAATGACCTCATGTATGTTTTCCATCACATAGAAAAAAAAAACATTTTGATTTCTTACCAAGCTTTGTTGTCAGAAAAACAAAGTTATTGCTGTCATTAATACAATATCTTTCATTTTCTATTCAACCATGGCATCCATGTCTTCTCCATAGATGGTATGGGCGTAACATCAAATGCTACTTCAATGAACATGGCAAGTCCTTCTTATAGGAACAACACATTGTTGTACTTGTTGCTACACAACTTTTTCATTGTTTTTGAACCTCTGATAATCGTTGTCTGCCTTCAACATCTCTCAGACACATCTGCGTTGCCCTTCGTTCTTGTGCTCCTACTCTGAATGCTACTTGATGTACACCAGTACGAACGCCTCGATGTGTGCTAACGCAAGTTATTGTCAGGTAAGAAAACAAATGACTCCGACAAACCCTCGTCATCCAAACTGTTTGTTCCGTAAAGAACAACAGCCACAATTGTGTTAATTATGAAACACTGCTTACTGTAACTGCAACTTGTGTCTGTTAAACAATCGACGTTTCATTCAAATGTTTGTTGTGTCATTGTGTGACGCATCAGCTGATGAGGAGCGAGGGCATGTTGTACAAGGCCAGCTGCAGTGCCTCCTGTGCAGAAAGCTGCAACAGCACTTCTCAGGTCAACTGCTCCGTGAGCTGCTGCAACTCCACCGGATGCCTCAATGGCACTTTTGCATCCATGATGGCGACAACTACAAGTAAGAACTGTTTGAGCTCATCGTGCATCGGTTACATCTGTTACTCGTGTTCCTCRAATGCAAGCATTAAATCAATTGGTTTTATGTGTAAAACTTAAGCTTTTATGCTTTTCTGGAATAATTTTAGTGGCCACAACRACAAAAAGCACAGCCCAGTCAACCTCCACGACCTCAACAACCGCAAACAAGGTAAAGCCTGCGTGTGTGAATGAATTCATTCATGTGAGTGGATGGATGTGTAGCTATTAATAAATTTGATAAATGCCTATTTTTATACCTTCTAATAATTAATTTTAAGGTAATGTTAAGATAAGGTGAATGTTCGTCTAGCAAGGTAGGATAATTAAAACATGAGTAATTTATTGCACATTTCAGGGAAACAAATGCCTAAAGGGTACATGCAGTGGGGACAAGTGCTACACATCGTTTAACGTGCTCGAAACATGCTCCTCCACACAGCCACACTGCCAGGTAAGAAGTGCTGAAAGTGATTCTAACATCTCTTTAACAACAATGTCACGATTTCACACCTCAAAATATAAATGTTAATAATGAACAATATTATTAAAAAATGTTTAAAAATGTAATATTCTTGTCCTCTCCAGTTCAGACTTGAAAATATTCCTCTGAAATCAGAACATTATTTTACCAATACTAATAAAAATATTCAGTTTAAATATAAGAAACATGAAATGGACATTGAAAGATTTTTTTCAAATGTTCAAATGTACATATTTTAATAAAATACAAATTTAAGGCTAAAAATGCTGCTTCTGCCCTAAATTACAGCATAACTTTATAATTATTAAAGCTGAGARTGCCTACATTTCAGTGTATGCAGTTTAAAGAGAACCATTTTTTTATGTTGACGCTGCCACAGTGGCTCATTATGGTCACCACAGTAACCACATGCCTGTTTCTCTCACTCCCTGATTTAATGTTTTAACTAAGACTCATGTCTAAACAATAGCACTTCAAAAAGGGTGCACCATTTGGTTTATAGTTTGCACAAAAAAGTTTTTTTACACTAACAAAGGCCCTCAAAGTACTTTATATTGTTAGAAGAGGAAGACGAATGATAAATTTTATCTAATAAGTTACACAAATACACACTGATTTATGACTTATTTCCCCTCTATACTTTCAATAAACAAAACCAGGCAGATGTTGAAGTGTTTCTGTTTTCATTAAAACTTTACCCTCAGGTTGGACATAAAATTTCTAACTTTTTTTTCCACCTTTCTTACTATATTTTTAGCTAAAACAGAGTACCACTGCAACATGGACTGCAGGTTGTGCCAACTGCACAAGTGAGACSGCTTGCAGCCCCTCCACACAAACCTCGTGTGTTCAGGAGTGCTGCACCGCCACCAYGGCATCCTCCTGCCTGTTCTTGAACGGCACGTCGAATATTTTTGGCTACTCTTCTGCCACCAGAGGCCCTCATTTCCAGACCAGTTTGATTGTTTTCTTGCTTTGCCTGCTTTCTGTCACACTGCTGATGTGAGAGGAAGAGCATGCATCTGCTCAGCTGCTGTGTTGGTCRTTATTCCTGCCAGAAGCCTTATGGCACTCCAGAAATGAAGCTATTGTAAGAGATCAACACATTTCTGCACTTGTATATTGCTGATTTTCGTTTATGATTGCATTCAAGAATTACATTATTGATTATTTTACTTTCTGTTCAAGACCCAATTATCTTTGATCAATGAGGATTAAAAGAAATATCAGTTAAGAAAAACGAGACTGAAGCAACTAATTTCATCAGTTCCCATCCAGGATTTGAATCTCATTGTTAAATAAAAACATAAAATAAATATATTTTTTACTTGTATATTTGCTAGGACTCCTGTAAAGTGTTTTTGACAATGATCATCCCTTTATTTAGTCACTGATTGGGATTTTAAAATGAAATCAATGCAGCTTTACTTCTATTTGCACTTTATGTAACACAAATGCTGAGCTGTWACAGGAAGTTACGTTTAAGTCTTGTTTTTAGTTGTAACCTTTACACAACCTGCAATGCACTACTCTCAAATGCATTTTATCTTGTATTTTTTTGTGCTTTGTGAACTGGATGTCTACTGTGTGGTTTTTAAAGTTATATTTTATGGTATAGTAGGGTGATGTAAATCTTAAATGAAATCAGAAACACGTCATGTTAATCTAGATCCGTGTACAGTAAACAAAAAATAGACAGATTATTCCTTCAAATGAAATAAATTTCTATATCTCTCGTGAGTCTTCTTTATTTTTTAACATTTGACTGCATTTATGTCAAATAAGTACAATTATACACCAATCAGCCATATCTTTATGACCACTGGTAGGTATTGTTTTTAACAGGAGCTCTGCTGGGTAAACATTCACAACAGGCTGATCCTGAATTTTTGACACAACACCGCTCCTATTTCCATCCAGTGTAGGCCAGTACACGCACCTGTTAGTGTATCAGCACTGTCATCAGACTTCTTCTTCCCTCGTCTGGTCTTTTTGTGCTCCTTCCTGCTGGGCTCCTCTCCAACTAATATCCACCTGCACGTGTCATGCTCCCATCAGATGGTGGATGAGTCAGCTTTAACACGCCTGATTCAGATGTTTGCAGTTCAACAAAAGCCTGTTAATCAGTTGTCAATTGAAATCAGTTGAAGCAGGGAAACATCACAAACATGCAGGGCAGTGTGCCTTGAGGACCAGGGTTGAAAAACACTGTGTCAGCCTATTGGTCACTTTTTAACAGCCGCAAACATGCACCTAAAACGACTGACCGAAAACCTGCAACACAGCAAAAACGGGAGTGTTAAAATTTCAGTGTTAAACTTTTGAGTGTTGATTTAACACCACCTAGTGTTATTTTTAACACTTTCTGAGTACACCCAGTGTTGGTGTTAATTCACAGTGTTGATTTCCTCAGTGTTGTCTCAACACTTGACAGTGTTAAATAAGCCCCGCCCACAGTCAAGTCTTATGTAACACTTAACAGTGTTGTTATATAACACCATGCAGTGTTGAAAGAAGCATTCTGAAAAGCCCCTCCCTCTTCCACCTCATGTCAGACAGACCAGCATTTACCCAGCATCCCTTGCTGAGAAATCTTACAGAAATGTTTTTGCTTGTTTATGACTATTAAATAAGTTCATGAGAGTAAAAAAATACTGTAGTTGTTCTGGATAGTTTTCTTGTTGAGTTTGATCAAGTTGTTCAACTTTAAGTTTATGTTTTTGGTCAAAAATCGACACCATGAGTGAGAGGTATGTCCTGGTGTGTGAAGGGTGGCTCCATTACACTTTTCTACTAACTATTGAGAGTTTGATATTAACTCTGACTGTTAAATTTACACTCTCAATTTCATGGTGTTGACACCTTGTAGTGTCTGTAAACCTTTATAACACCACAATTTCCTTTGTTAATAATAATAATAATACACTGGTGATACTACACTATCTTAACACTGTTATGATAACGTGACACCCAGTATTGTTGAATATTTAACACTGGATGGTGTTACTGTTAACACTATATTTTAACACTAATACTATTTTTATGTTAATGTGACACCAAGAATTGTTGAATATTAAACAATGGTTAGTGTTAAATTAACAAAAAAAAAGAGTGTTAAAATTTAACACTTTCATGAATGTTATTTTAACACCAGNGTTAATTCACAGTGTTGATTTCCTCAGTGTTGTCTCAACACTGGACAGTGTTAAATAAGCCCCGCCCACAGTTAAGTCTAATGTAACACTTAACAGTGTTGTTATATAACACCATGCAGTGTTGAAAGAAGTTTTCTGAAAAGCCCCGCCCTCTTCCACCTCATGTCAGACAGACCAGCATTTACCCAGCATCCCTTGCTGAGAAATCTTACAGAAATGTTTTTTGCTTGTTTTTGACTATTAAATAAGTTCATGAGAGTAAAAATTAGTTGTTCTGGTTAGTTTTCTTGATGAGTTTAATCTAGTTGTTCAACTTTAAGTTTATGTTATTGGTCAAAAATCGACACCATGAGTGAGAGGTATGTCCTGGTGTGTCAAGGGTGGCTCCATTACACTTTTCTCCTAATTACTGAGAGATATTAACTCTGAGTGTAAAATCTACACTCTCAATTTGATGGTGTATTGACACCTTGTGGTGTCTGAAAACCTTTATAACACCACAATTTCCTTTGTTAATAATAATAATAATACACTGGTGATACTACACTATCTTAACACTGTCGAAATGTTACTGTGACACCCAGTATTGTTGAATATTTAACACTGGACGGTGTTACTGTTCACACTGTATTTTAACACTAAAACTATTTTTATGTTAATGTGACACCAAGAATTGTTAAATATTAAACACTGGTTGGTGTTAAATTAACAAAAAAAGAGTGTTAAAATTTAACACTTTCACAAATGTTATTTTAACACCAGCGAATGTGGACACATATAGACACTTTGTTGGTGTTAAAATTAACACTGTGGGTGTTAAATTATGTAGCTATGACCCATACAAAACTCATAAACCAACTGATGAGTTATTACTATAAAATTAGCACAACAAGTTATTATAAGAGACAGTAAAATAATACATCTTAAACGAAGAGCAGGACTACTTGCAAATAAATCAAGTTCAAATTGTAATTAATGCAAAGGCTGTTTCTATTCTATTCTATTCTATTCTATTCTATTCTATTCTAAAATAAGACAATAATAAACATTCCTCAAAGTTCGTTGATGAAACTATTAGGCTCTGGTTCTCTTTAGGTCACTGACCTGAGGTTTATTCAAAACGAACCGGGTCTCTGACTGGCAGCTGTTCTGACGTCACTCGAGTTGCACGAGCGACTGGTGCGTGGCAGTGCGCGCGCGCGTCGAACTGGCTCAGCGGAAGAACATCTGGGCCGAAYGAGGGGACTGATCATGTCGGAGCGAACAAAACCGCTGGGCTGTGACTCCTTCTGCTTCTGTTCGCCCCTCAGAGACTGATAACTGGGTCACTGCGGAGATTTTTTTTTTTTTTTTAAACATTTTTGTGGTTTGGGGAAACGTGTYGCCGAACTTGTCAGTCAAGTCTTCACAATGGACCAGTCCGTCGCAATTCAAGAAACTTTGGGAGGAGAAGAAAACTGCGTTTTAGTATCCTTTGTCCCTGATGTGTTTGTTGGCTGTTTGGATTCAAAAGGAGAAACGCTTCAAACAAAAATATAAACAAGACTCTGCTGAAGCGCAAGGCCTGAGAGGCTGGGTTTGGCTCCTCGAGCTGCATGTTGACTAAAAAAAAAGAGCCACATGAAAATGGACGTATTTAGGTGCAGAACGCGGATTCGCAGTTTGCACRTTTTTTTAAGAGAAACGTCTTGTGTCAGCTACTTCCCATAAATAGCCTATTCTTGGTGGTGCAGTAACGCATATCATACACCAGGGGGCAGCCTAATCTCACCACTAGCTGCTTTGTCATCAGTGGTTGGGTGGAGGGAGAGGAGGCCCGCCTAAAAAATACTTATGATCTTGCTGTTAGTGCTCAGAAATGTGTTACTCCTCAGTCTCATCTACWACCACAACTAATTCCAGGTCARTATGTGTAAAACTGACTGATTTCTGACCTTTGTTTTGCCACTAGTCAAATAAAACTAAATGAAATAAATCAGTTTCCTTAAGCGATATCTGTAAACATGCTGTCCAATGTGATGTCTTCTATGATGATCTGTCAGAGAGCAGGCTGCTGGGGTTGGTGGAGTCTGGAAATGAACATGCGTAAGTTTTTAATGTCTTCTGCAAAAGCAATGTCATATATTTTATTTTCTTCTTTTATAAAGCGATTTACTAAATTGAGTTAGTTTAGTTACTTTGTACAGGATTAAACACACACACACACACACACACACACAC